TTTCCATGTTAGATGCCAAAAATTACCACCTGTCTCTATATGACAAAAATGTAAGCCTGTTTCATCAAGTTATAAAGAAGAAAAGGAATGTTAAATGAAAATCTTTAATACATCCTCTATCAAAACATTGTGACACATCTGATTCCGCTCTAGCCTTCCATTCCCACATTCCTACACTGTCACTTATAGAGACACTCTAAGCACCAAAACAACTTTAGCTTAATAAATCAATTTTGGTGCATTGCTTACGTCTCTGCCATTTAGGAGTTAAATCACTTTTGTTTTTATTATGCAGCCCTACTGTACTAACTATCAACTGGAATCTGATGGCACAACATATGGGAAAAAAAGTAATTAAAGATTCTTTATTTTGAAAATAAGCACCAAAGTTTGAACCTCTAGTAATTTACTATATCTCCCTGTAGCACTAAAATGGTGAATTAACTAATTTGTGCTACATAAATATACATAATATAGGGGGCAGAGCTAAGCAGCACTCTGAGGCAGATGTATCTCCAGGCAGCTCTGAGACAAAGTTTAACAAAATCGACGTTACTGCCGCAGAAATCGCTAAAACTGGGGTATACTCACCTCCGATAAGAGAGGGAAGCACCCGCAAGTAAACGGATGCCCTTTACTTTCCCCGCGCAAGCCAAAACCAGGCACCGAGGCCTTCGGGCCTACCGCGTGGAAAGCCTGCTGCTGAACAGTGACCCTTACTGGATCAGAACAGGCCCAGAGGGAAACGCACACCCAGAATACTATAGACAAACCTCTCCAGATGGCGACATGGCGACATTCTGCAAAATGCAGAAAAAGACCCAGCCTGCACCGCCCACCAAACAGGACATACACAACCTGTTGGTGCACATACAGCAAATGTTTTCAGAAGAGCTCAAAACTGTGCGAACAGAAGTACAGGCGGTCACTAACAGGGTCCAAACGACAGAAGAGGCCCTCACCGACCTGAAACAGGACATGGCCACCATCAACGAAACTGTGCAATACCTCCAAACAGCACAAGCTTACCAAGGTGTCAAGATGGCCTACCTGGAGGACAGAGAGCGGAACAGGAACATCAAGATCCGCGGAGTGGCGGAGGCCCTTTCACCCGAGAAGCTTCCCCACTTCGTGAGGCGCCTAGTCTCCACCGTCATGTCCGCAAAACATGCAAAGCAAATCAACTTTGACGGCATGTACCGCATAGCTTAGTCATCACTAGCTCCAGCTATGGCCACCCGTGACATTATTTTGCGCTGCCAAACTCAGGCCGACAAACAACAGCTCCTCAATGCAGTGAAGGGCAAGACCCCCCTACAATTCGAGTCACACACCCTCACGTTCTTCCAAGATCTAAGCAGAGCCACACTACTGTGGCGCATATCTATGCAGCCGATCACGAAAACCCTGCAAGGCACCGGCCTCCCCTATAGGTGGTCGTTCCCTAGATCTCTGATGGTCACCCAAGATGGAAAGACTTTCAGGGCCCTAGACCCCACAGAAGGAACTGCTTTCCTCCAGGCTCTTGGATTACAGAGCCAAGCAACAACAACGGACACAAGCCGAACCTGGGACGTACCCAGAGTCACCCCTTTTATGCCCAGTGGTACCAGTGACTCAGTGACCTGACTTTGCATGGGACATTAGCCTATATTACGTTTTTGTTTTTTTTATGTTATGTTCTATATTTCTTGTTGTTCACCCACGACATTACTATGCATTAGACCGCAATCTACACATAGACTTATCTGGTGATAAACACCTTCTAAACCCTAAGATCCCCCACTCCTGGGAACTGCTAGCTAAACTCTAGATGTATATAAGAAAAAAAGGCCACCTCACAAAAGACGATACCACTCATATATAACTGCAATGTTTTTATCATGAATGTCTTTTATCTTGTCTAACTGCCTTGAATCACCTGAATAAAATAAAGAATTTAAAAAATATATATATATATATACATAATATATATAGAAATAGGCAAATTGATCAATTAAATGTTGAACAATAGATCAGGGTTCATTGCTATATAGAAATATAGAGTATTGCAAATTAATGTTTGATGTGAAATGAAGATTTGAGGTCAATGTAAAAAACATTTAAGTAGAATAGATTGCTTTTAAAAGACAATTTTGTTTATAGTGCCTTTTACTCCACTTCATAAACCTTTGCTACTTTTTCTTATTACCTTATTAGATAGCAGAAAGGTCAGATATGCATCAAGGTGCATTTTTAAAATAAAGGAAAATAAAGAGGTCTTCCAGACAGTAAAATTAGAAGTTCTAGCTTAACCATGAAAACTAGTCATTTCTAAACAAAATATGTACTAGCTACTGTGTGCAATTTTCAGCTCCAGAATACATCACAGCCTATATGCCACATGGAGAACTATTTATGCTCAGTGAATTTAGAAAGCAATCTGAACAGCTATCTGAGATTTCAGTTCTCGTATAAAAACGCAAGTGTTGCTCTTATGCTGTCTTTTTCTATGAGCTCCGAGCCATGGATCAACAGCAATCAAGATACAAATGCAAGGTGAAAAAACATTTCAAAGATAGAAAAAAAATTTAAAAAAATAAACCATAAGTAATGTATTGCAGATAGAAGGTTTCTGCATAAAGGAAAGGAGGAGGGAACACTTAAGGCGTGATATATATATATATATATATATATATATATATGTCCTAATAAGTTTTATCCTGTGGTCTATATATCTTTGGACACACACACGCACGCACACACACACGCACATACACACACGCACACACTTTTCACTCATTTAGAAATGGTTTTAAGATTCTGTGTTCAGAAATGAGATTGGATTGCAATGTGTCCAAGTGCCTGCAGCATTGATGTCATTTGGCCGTATTAAATATCCCAATTACAAGTTAACCCTTGTCACCTTCTATCTGCTAAACAATAATAAGCAACAATAACACTGAGTCCACCAAGCCAGAAGCTCCTTTTTAAATATGCATGAATGCCTAATTAACAGTGTTACATATAAATGATTGAGTTATTTCTCACAGTAAAACTGCCGTTTGTTTTGCAGAAGCTTGTTCGCGGAAATAAACAGATAATTAAGTCATAATATTAAGAATGTGTAATTTAATTCTAGTTTAAATGATACATTTTTATGTACAGACTTTAGGCTCCTCAAACCCATGAAACTATTACCAAATGTTCTCTATCGTCTACACACGGTTTCGGTTTCTGGTGGACCAACAGGTGTGCAACAAGTTCCTTAATTGATTATCACTTATCTCTATGGAGATTGGAGGAGACAATTTGGTGTGTTGAGCACTGGCCATTACAAGGATACCTGTGCCATAAACACTGTGGCCTCCTCAGTCTTACCCTGAACCGGTGCAAAAATAGAGTGAGTGGGGGGTCAACAGTATGTATCATCAAAATTAACATTGTAACAAAGTTAGCTAGGTGAGCCTCTTTGGCTCTATATATTGATCTTTGTACCGTTGAGGGTAACCTGACCTTTGGTTCTGTGTATTTTTTCACCTCAGTGGGTGTGGGATGAAACAACACAATCTCCACTAAAAGTATAATTATGTGATGCAAAGTGCACATATATATTTACAGCAAATATCACTCTCACAAGCGTAGAGCACACTCAATCTCACTTACTGATTGGTCTTTTTTTAACCAAAAATAAGAATAGAAATATGGACAGCGAACTCTGTATATATTTTAGCCACAAGTAAAGAAAATACATTTTCTGTGTACCTATAGTGCATATCTTACATATAATATGTACATTAGTTTAAAAGACTAAAATATGGATCCCCTATAAATCAAGGTGCATCCACCGATCCTGGCAAAGCCTACATGAGCCTGAACCCAAATAATCACCAAAATAATTAACTAAAAGCATCCCCTAGGTGTAGAGGACACTTTCAGTTATGTTGGGGATATACACATTAACATTGTTTTACATTATTATTATTTATTTTTTTTTAAATATAATTTTTATTTCACATTTTGTATCACAAAGTTTAAAACAAAAACAGTATATTAGACACATGCCAAATAGAGAGCAAAGGCTCTTTTCCTACTGATATCAAGTTCAATTATCTTAAATTGTTGTGTTATATACAGAGGATATGTATAAGCTTATCTCTTCATTTTTCTTTTTTTCTTCTCTCCTCTCTCTCTCCCCTTCCTTTTCTCCTCTTCTTCTTGATACGTTTTACATTATTTTAATGTTATTTCTATTTTTATAATAGATGCACATATATTTCTTAAATTACTTTTAGAATTAAAGTTTTTCAACACTGCCTAGACTCTAGAGGAAGACCCTGTCTTTTCTTAAAGGAACCCTATGCTCTTCCTTACCGGGTCTGCAACCGATTTCCAAGGTGTCCCATCGTTAAACATCTACTAATCCACAATGGGAAAGGAAAAGACTCATGTCAACATCGTTGTCATTGGTCACGAAGATTCTGGAAAATCCACAACAACTGGACATCTTATCTACAAATGTGATGGTATCGATAACAGAACCATCGAGAAATTCGAGAAGGAAGCTGCTGAGATGGGAAAAGGTTCCTTCAAGTATGCCTGGGTTCTGTATAAGCTGAAGGCTGAGCGTGAGCGTGGTATAACCATTGACATTTCCCTGTGGAAATTCGAGACCAGCAAATACTATGTTACTATCAGTGATACTCCTGGTCACAGAGATTTCATCAAAAACATGATCACTGGTACCTCTCAGGCTGACTGTGCAGTCTTGATCGTTGCTGCTGGTGTAGGAGAGTTTGAAGCTGATATCTCAAAGAATGGACAAACCCGTTAGCATGCTCTATTGGCTTACACTCTTGGTGTAAAGCAGCTCATTGTTGGTGTCAACAAAATGGATTCCACTGAGACACCATACAGCCAAAGAAGATACAGCCAAGGAAGTCAGCACATACATCAAGAAGATTGGTTACAACTCAGACACCGTTGCCTTTGTACCCATTTCTGGCTGGAATGGTGACAATATGCTTGAGCCCAGCTCCAATATGCCTTGGTTCAAGGGATGGAAGATCACCAGGAAGGAAGGAAATGGCAGTGGAACTACTCTGCTTGAAGCTCTTGATTGCATTTTGCCACCAAGCCATCCCACAGACAAACCCCTCCGTCTGCCACTTCAGGGTGTGTACAAGATAGGTGGTACTGGCACAGTACCTGTTGGTCATGTGGAAACTGGAGTTCTTAAACCAGGCATGGTGGTTACTTTTGCCCCAGTCAATGTAACAACTGAAGTGAAGTCTGTGGAAATGCATCATGATGCTCTGACTGAGGCTTTTCCCGGTGACAACGTTGGTTTCAATGTAAAGAACGTCTCCGTCAAGGACATTCCGTCGTGGCAATGTTGCTGGTGACAGCAAAAATGACCCTCCTCTTGAAGCTGGTGGATTTACTGCACAGGTAATCATCTTTAACCACCCAGGTCAAATTGGTGCTGGATATGCTCCTGTGTTGGATTGTCATACAGCCCACATTGCCTGCAAGTTCGCTGAGTTGAAGGAAAAGATTGATCGTCGTTCTGGTAAGAAACTGGAAGACTTACCCAAGTTCCTCAAGTCTGGTGATGCAGCCATCATTGAAATGGTTCCAGGCAAACCCAACCTCCACTTGGTTGTTTTGCTGTGCGTGGCATGAGACAGACTGTTGCTGTTGATGTCATCAAGGCCATTGAGAAGAAAGCAGCTGGATCTGGCAAAGTCACAAAATCAGCCCAGAAAGCACAGAAAACCAAATGAATCTTGCACAAATCACAAACCACCTCAGTCTTAACCAGCGGTAGAATATTGGTCTCTGAACTGTTTGTACCAATTGGCCATTTAAGTTTAATAGTAAAAGACTGGTTAATGATAACAATGCTTTGTAAAAGCTTCAGAAGGAAAGGAACCCTATACAAAACACTATATAAATTTGTATTTCTAAGGTCCAATAAAGAAACAGTTTAACTTACCTTGTAGCCCTTGCCACACTGGTCTCCTGGCTGAAGGTCCTGCCACCTTGGCTGAGTTAAGAAATATTGATGTTCTCATCCAATCCAGTGATTCCCTGTAAAGCATAGGGGGGCTTGTGGGCATAGGCAGCAAATCGCCACGCTGCACAAGTCAGCATCTTCTCATCGAGATGCATTGAGTCCATCCATACCTATGGGGCATTTTCATAGTGCCCCTTTAATATGCCAGAAATGATGGTTCTAATTCATGAATTGAGATGTTGCACTCGATTTGTTTCTACACATACTTATATAATGTTTAACAATGTCGATATGTTTCTTTTATATATCAAGCTAAATAAACAGTATGTACTGTGAAAGGCCAATGCTTCATCATGCAATCAGGTATATCTCCCCACAGTCAGGAAAAGGCTATTTTCGTGTGTATTGCTGTACATATATATGCACCTTGCATCACTGAATGAGTCTGTTGGGGCAGTTTCCTCTGACGAGAACGAAACCTACAGGGTTAATCACTAAAGTGAGAACTTGAAGTGAATCCAAAGTGAATTTCAAATTTAGGCCTTGATTTAATAAGATTTCCAAATGATTCATTACTGTTAAAAAAAAAAAACCCTTTCCAAATGACTTATCTACAACAGTTCCCGTAGACGTTAATGGAGACATCTGCAGATAAATCATTTTGATAGTGTTTCTAACAGTATTAAATCATTTGGAAAACTTCATCATTTTAAGGCCTTAATGTCAAAATAACCGAATTGGAAACAATCTCAAAGCCAACTTTGCTTTCAGTTCGACAACTCTGGCCTTAATTTTGAAATTCGCCTTGAATTATCACTTAAGGCAGCACTGTAAACCCCTCCTTCTCCTAAAAAATTTGTATTTCATAAAGATATGATCTTTATGAAATACTCACATTGACTGTGTTGGAAATTCACTGAAATTCCAACCCAGTCTCAAGATATACTGAGGCAAGGTAGGGACTACTTTGTCTCTGTATTTTTCCTACGCCCGACACTTACATTTCTTTCCCCACCCTCCCAGCAATGCTCCTGTCAGGTGCCATCACAGTGGGCCACATGAAGACTATAAAGTGTAATTGTGCAGTAAATGATGAAATGTGGAGTAATTAGTAGTGCATATACAGTCCTCCCTGTATAGTACATTATTATCCTATGAGTAGAGTGAGATATTCCAGTTTTATAACCTCCACAGTGAAACAAGTAACCTATTGATTTACCGCAGACCCAATTTGAAAGCTTTGGTGTTTTGCTTTATGATGTGTTATGACCCGATCGATGAATCACTAGTAGTTTCACAGTCTACTATTTACTTTCTCCAGGGAGCCTCCTTATCCAGGCAGAATACTGATAATTAATCCCATTCTCTAAGCCTAGTCTCTAATCATTAATCACTTAGCACAAACCTTTAATCAGCAAGCATATACAGAGTAAAGCTTGCATTCACACAAGATGATTCAATGTACCCTAGGTTAGAGATAATGAATGATAAATCAATCAAATGCAGTACATAGTGTGTTGGCGTTTAACTTTTAGGGACAAGTACTGATCACTGGAGCAAAAAGTATTCTTGATTGGTTTATATTTGTTCAAGCTGAGTTGTATTTTTTATTTTAACCCATTTTTAGCAATGGCTATTTTTTACCTTGGGGATAATTTTTTACATTTTTGCTTAATCTTTGTTCTGTGATTATTTTTCTCTTGCTGTTTTTGTGCATACTCTGGATTTAAAAAAAATAATACTTAGCGTTTTCTATTTATAACCTACAAAAATATATAACTTCTCATTTATCATGTACAAAAATGGGAGCGATTGGAAAATTCTTCTGGATTCTAAAAAAAATATAGAAATACATGCAACTAATGCAGCTAAAGTAGTTTGTAAAGATAACTTTGTCCTGATTTAGCAATACTTGATCTAAGATTTCCATATTTTTTGTATGCGGTCCTTAAGGACCGTTTTTTGTCAGATGTACTTAGTATGTCCGCGGTCCTTAATGGGTTAAAGACAAATTAATGTGAGTTTCCGTGCTGTAGAGCTCTGTTATATACTCAGACACACCTATAATATGTAACTATTATAAAAGAGGGACTTTGGGAGAGAAAATGGGCAGAGGGATTTGGGACCAAAATAGAGACTGTCCCTCCTAAATAGGGACACTTGGAAGGTATGGATTTATTTATTATTCTTTAATGTCAAACTAAAGAATATGTAAACCAAAATGTAGTTTTGTGAACTTGATATCTATTTACATTGTTTCGAATTTCTGCTTCCAAGTAGACTTTTTAAAAAAGGTTGCAGTGTGTGAAATGCCAATTGAGTAACTATATTTTTTATCATCTTTGATGCATGACCTTATTAACACTTGACAGTGGACTGAATAATGTATTACACTGCATGCTGTCCTAGTACGGAAGCAATAAGCATGCAATTAAATAACAGAACTTAAAACCTTCATGTTGTATAACATAACAGATCACAACAGAAACAACCTGAAAAACAAACAAGATCTCATTAGAATTATTTAATGTTGTGAGATAGAATTTCATGACAATACAAAGTTGGTTTGTGCTGAACCTGTTTTGCGGGTTTATAAAGTTTAGTTGGAAAACAGAATTTTGTGGCCAAGTGAAATGTGTGCACGATGACTCAGGCTTGGTTTTAAAGCAGGCAGGGAACACTGAGAGCATTGTCATGAAATAATAATGCAGTAGAATGGGATAAATGGATCATGTAGTCGTCTCCATTTAATGATAGCTAGTTCAAGCCAATTGGGACTATGTCTTGGAAAAAAAATAAAAGATTCTTCAACAGGAAGTATCTATAAACGGTGAATCATTAAACAAATGGATGTAACGCACAGCATAATTTCGCATATTTATGTGCTATTGCAGGACCTCAGCAAAGAGAGTGCATTGGCAACACTTAGACAAGATAACAATACATTCTTGTGTATGCAAATGGCTGTGGAAAGTAGTGACATTGCTGCAGGGGGGTCAAAAAGAGTCTGCCACAGTCCTCTTTGCACTGCCTGCCCCCGCAAGTGCACCCCTTGTATTGCCATCATATCATTTTTATTTAATATACTGTTAATTCAGAAATGTATTAAAGGAACACCCTTGGCACTGTAACAATGACATCTCCGTGAAGTTGTTATGGTGTCTGGATGCTCTGGCCTCCGACTTACCTAAAGATGTTTAACTGTATGGAACTATTAAACCACAAAGTGTAGACGGTGCATGTTAGCTGGACCCCTCATCTTCTAGTGAAGTCCTCTGCCACATTGAGGAAGCCACAAATTAGGTGCTCAGTCTATTACTAGCTTCCCATTCAGAAAACTGTGTGAGAAAGGTACATATCTTTGCATGTTCATTTAAATAAAAAATAAGGTATAGGTGAAAGGGATGGTCTGCACCAGTTGCAAGCGGTGTCTCTGTGTAAAAGTAGTATGTATTTACATAGTATGTTTTCTTTAATTTGTTCTCTGCTTTCCACTATGTAGTTTAAAGTTGCAGATTATTTACTATCACTAGTGTATCAAATCAAAAGGTAGATCCAGGTGCTGCTAGTGTTTGTCTTTCTCCTATAGCCTCTCAAGGCTATTTACTAAACTCAGTTAATTTCAAATTTAAGGCCAGAGTACCTAAACTGAATGAATAGATGACTTGGAAAACGTTTCCACCTTAAATTCACTTTAAATTCTCACATTGCCAGGGTGACCAGACGTCCCAGTTTTACTGGGATCGTCCTGGTTTTGTGTTTTGTGTCCCAGAAACTTTCTCGGGGCGTATAAATGTTTAGTTTCTTTTGTACTAATAGAGGACTTGTGGCCGGCCAAACTTAATGAGAGAGCCATTGGCTCCTAAAATGCCGGTTCTATCAAAATGGATGCGGCAGACTGTGGACCCTTTCCCTCCTAAGATGGAGGGGTTACCTTAGGCATCCTTTCCTCCTGCCACTGTGCTGCTGGCAATGGGTCAATCCGCATCTGAATGCTATGCGGATTGTGCCAATTGCCAGCTAATTAGAAACCACACTGAGTGGTGACGTCACGCCGCAACCTCACACCCTCCCTTCAGTACCCCGCCTGTGGTTAATTGAATTTGCTGAAAGCAAGTGGATAATGGAGAGAAAGGTAAATGAGCAGAATGGAAAGAAAAGTAAAGGAGAGAAAGGGAAAGGAGCAAAAAGGAGAGAAAGGGAAAGGAGCAAAAAGGAGAAAAAGGGAAAGGAGCAAAAAGGAGAAAAGGGGAAAGGAACCACAAGGGGAGAAAAATGGAAAGGATAGAAAGGGAAAGGAGCAAAAAGGAGAGAAAAGTAAAGGAGAGAAATGGAAAGGAGCAGAAGAGAGCCAAGGAGGAGAGAAGACAGTGTCAAAAGGTCTTGTGGGACCCTCCATAGACTTCAATGCTGTACTTTCATGCTTGCGCAAGAGTAGAGCAATGACGTTAGCTGCTTAGAGAAGAGGAGCGGCAGGAAGAAAATGACAGTGACCTCGAGAGGTAGGTTCAGGTAAGATAATCTCACCTTCATTGCCCCCACTGCAGCTACCGGACCAACAGTGGCAAAGTCCTTAGGCGTGACAGGAAAACAGTAAACAGGAATTTACCTAATTTGTGAATGCAACAGGCAAAGTGGTAGATAGATTACAAGGATGTCAAGTAAT